ATAGTCAGCACCGTAAGAAGGTCTGCAGGTGTTTGAAAGGCCCCCAGATGGAGGTAATCTGAGTTAAGCATTAGACTAAGATAAGCAATTTGAGATTCTGGAACATGCTGTGCAAGGAGGAAAAATCTTTATTACCTTAAATGTGTCCTGGAATCTCTTCATTGCCATTCCTTTTTGAATTTGCCTGAATATATACTAAAATCACATTTTGTTCTTTGAAGGAACTGTGTATACCAGTTGAGGCTAAGAGCCTCTAAGAGGGGGCCAGACAGCACGCATGAGTTGTCTTCTCAAACCTCAGTAGGCAATATGTGTTTTTAATAATCATCTGTAATTAACAGCTGTGATTCAAAACCTTTCATTTGGAAAAAAATAATAATAATTTTACTTCCTGTTGCCAGGAACCAGATGGGCAGCCATAGACAGAAGCCTCCAGCTAGGTATCAGACAAGTAGAGAAGGTGGTGCCCATGAGCTCCTCTTCACCCTGCAGCTGGCACAACATCTGGACAGGAGAACAAAGCAGTGGTACAGATACCTGGGCCCCCGCCCCTCTCATCCATTCAGTGCTAATTACAGTACTGGTTATAATCTCTGCTATCAAAAGTACAGTCCCTCCCTCTGCTGACTTGTTCTAAATTACCTCTTTAAAAAGATGCATTGCTTGATAAGTAATGTCAACTTGGGAAATTATTTTGAAATATGACCATGAATTCTTTATTTGGTTCAAAGAAATTGCACTGGCCCTCAGGCCTTCTTGCTGCTTGCTACCACCACTTTGACCATTTCAAAGTCCCCTGCCGATTGCTGTCACCTCAGGGTCAATGAATAGCAAACCACCTTTCAAACATCATGTGTCTGTAGCAAATATATTCAATATCTTCACAAATCTCTCTCTCTCACACACACACATCTCTTTGTTGAAGATGTCAGGAGAGGGGGAAATGGGATAAAGGAGGAGGGTGACAAGAAGCAAATAATCTGGATATATTTTTATTACATTTCTCATTAAGTCCAGTGTCTGGTCTCTTACGGGTTTGGGGCGTGAAGGCAGGAGTTCATCTGCTTGGCTGAAACCATTTGAAACTCAGCATGGATTTGAGGGCTTTGTAATCGTTTACACAGAAAGAAAGAGAAAAAACATGGAATGAAGGAAAGAATGGGAGGGGGATAGTAGGAGTGTCTTCTACTAAGAGTAGGAGCGTGTTGATTCCTGTTTTCATTTGCTGTATGTTTCACATGGGGCAGATGCCTCACACAGCCGCATCACCATGGAGAAGATTGAATCCTGGTCCGGCAGCTGTGGGAGCTACATCACTGGAGTGGAGAGGAACAGTAGTAACTGATTTTTGGCTCTGCACTATCTCATCCATCACCAGAACAATAGGAGAGCTGTGGCTGCCTTTCCGATCCTGCTTTGAGGGGCTTAATATTTTGATGGTTGCCATGGCAAACAAGCTTAAAACACCACTGGATGACATGAATGGCAGAAGATAATGCTTTATAACTTTCAATGGCCAGACTCTGAAAAAAGGATTTTTGGTATTTCCATTTTTTAGAGTGGGAAAGCCTAGAAAACGGGGGATCAGAACTGGATTCTGGTTTCAGATCTGCCATCGAATAGCTACACTGACCCTGGGTGGTGTATCACTTAAACTCTCTGGGCAGAGAGATTCTTCTTCTGAAAAATTAGAAAATTAGTACTGAAAGCGAAATATTGGGATTTTAAGGGAGAGGTAATACAAGTCGTGGCCAAAGAGTTGGAATTTGGTTCCTCTTCTCCATTAACCAACTGAGACAGTTCAGATGATTCACTGAAACTTTCTGGATCATCATTTCCTCACTGAAAAATTAGAAATCAAGGATGCACATTATAGATACGGTGATTGTGTGATGCCAACAATAGATAAAGAAAAACTGGTACCGCGGGCTGACGAGTCACGATGAGAGAGGAAATAGCTCCGATACCTCAACATGCCTTTATTTGGGACCTATCAGCTGTGGCTATATCCCTGTCACTCTTTAGTGGCCCTGAAGCTCCCTCCAAGTCTGTTGAAGCTAAACCAGACAAGCTGAGCTTCTTCTAGCTGGGGTCATCACTGTCATCCTCCTCACCACTAGAATCTATTAACAGTAGAAAATAAAACACCAACATTAGAATAGCTACTTTCATCAGTAGGCTATCACTCACTCCCCTCCTTCACTCCCTCTAAGGGTTAGCCAAGATCCTGAACAATGTATGTTTCTAAATTAAAACACGGATTCGATTATTTATGTAGATTATTTATGTAGATTATTTATGTATTTGAGGAGAGACCTAGGAATCTTGCTCTATAGTAACAAGCTCATATCAAAGGAATCTCACCAAAGTTTTCCTTTTTGGCTAGGGACAAACTAAGGCTCAGAAAGTTAGGCAATAGTCATGCTGTCATTGTGCATGCCAAACAGCTCATTCAATTGATTGTAGTTTTTTTGGGGAAAATGACAGGCTAGAGATCCAGATTATACCCTGTCTAAATGCTGTGAGCGAGCTGGTTTGCATGTCTGAAAGCTTGCAGAGCATTATTTAAGCATATGAGGGTATTGACACAATGGAGACCAGATGATTGGAAAATATAATGAGAGTAATTATAATTATACCTGTATCTGTTACTATGTATTGGACATGGACTGTATATCAGGCATTGCTCTTGGTGCCCTTTAGTGCATTATTTTCTTGATTCCTCACAACAACCTTAAAATTAATGCAATGAAATCCTTACTATACAGATTAAGAGACTGAGAGGAGGTTTGGGGAATTTCAGTGATTTGTCCAGTGTCACAACTTGGGTAAATAGAGAGAGGCCGGCTCAAGTCCAGGCATGTTGGACTCTAAAGCCAGTGCTCTCAGCAATTATCCTTATTTCATATTTATTGGGCCCTTTTAATGTGCTAACTCTATTATGAACATTATTCCATTTTATGATCACAAACTCCTGATGAGGGAAGCATTATTATCTCCACATTGTAAGTGAGAACAGTGAGGTTCAGAAAGTTTAGGTAATTTGAACAAGACCCTCCAGTCGGTAACTAGAGGAATTTAGAATTCTAGCCCCTGTTTCTTTGCCCCCAAAGCCACTGTGCTAGGATGGGTTTTGAGAGGGGCAAGGGTGTAGCATCGCAGTAAAAAGGAAAGAGAAATCCCATAGTCTCCTGGGTTCCAGTAGTAATTCTACTGCTAATTAGCCAGGTTATTCTGGTTTTTCTGGGTCACTTATCCTAATTGGACAAGACAGGTTTTTTGAGAGAGTTAACAACATTATGCATTTTAAAATATATTTTCTAATGAACTTTATAGTTCTAAAATCATTGGTTTAAAGTGCAATATATTTTCCATAGGATAGAAAAACCATTCTCTATTAACTCTAAAGAGGCAAGTGTTTCTATGTACAAACCAGGAATGAAAAGATGATAACAATAATTATTAAGTATTGAAAATGGACCAAATGCTCATCCAAATGTTCTACTCATTGAACCCTCACAAAAGCTCAGTAAGATAGGTATTACTTACCTTTCCCATTTTATCACTAAGATGATTGAGGCAAAGAGAGATTAAATAATTTATCCAAGATCTCATGGTAATAAACAAGGGAGATGGCACATGAACTCAGTCAGCCTATTTCATAGTCCACACTTTAAACCAATATCGAATTTTGCCTCTGGAGTTAAATTAGTTCATTGGCCTAATGGCAGTCAACATGGTGCTAAATTATATTGGAAATGCAGAATGACATGGTGTAGAGGGTTCAACCTAGATGTCAGGCAAAGGAGGGGTTGAATCTCCACATTGCATCACTAGGCATCCTGCTTTATTAGAGTAAGAATTTGGTTTGATTTATTGCCCCCATCCCTTTCAGCCCCCAAAACACATATTTGTTGAATGAATGAATGAATGTTTTTGGGGGTGGAGGCATACGTGTCTGATTCCAAAGGCTAAGAGGTTACTATTTTCCAAGACTGGCTCACAGAATAAATACCAACCTGTCCAAAGCTAAGGGTTGTTCATGCAGCAGAAGCAAAGAGCTTAGCATCTGAAGAACTCTTTGAGTCTCCATTTACTTTTCCATAAATTTAAGGTCATGTTGTCATATGTGCTCAGTTGTAAGAATCAAAGCTGTAGCTACATTAAGCACCTACTACACTGCTTGGCATAATGGCACAGAATTGATAACTTTGCAATTGTTTTTCTAAAAAAAAGTCAACTGAAGCTGTAGTATCTGCAGGCTGTGTTGGCCACACCCTTTTTTGGATGATGGTGCTTCTCTACGGAAGCACCCGCTGAAATACCATGGCAGTCTGCCAATGTTTCCTCCCACAAAAGTTTTTAAGTCAACTTACAGGAAAAATATACTCCGGATGAGCATGGCCATCAGTGAGACAAAGGCACCTTGCAAAAAGAGGAAATCCACCATCTGGCATACTTGAAACAAATTTTTAATTATTTCCAACTTGTGCCATTATGAATGTCTCCTAAAGTTGAAGCTGTGGTTATTTTTCCACTTACATCTTAGCCAGTGAATTTCCCAGTGGATGTAAGTCTTGATGATTTGGCTGATCAACCCCCATCAGCATTGATGGAGCACAACAGCATGCTTAAAATAAACAAGGTCCCTTTGGCCTCCATAAATGCCTCCACACTTAGCAAATAAGTAGTTCATTTGGTGTGAAGTCACAGGCATGAAACAGCTCATTGTCAAGTTCCCACAACACCAAACAGACCATCCAGAAACTAATCATTTCTTGGACTTGGCCCTCCTGAGGCACTGTCCCCTCTACCAGATTAAACCTGAGAGGACATGGGGCCCTTTGCTTCTATTATTAGCACCCTCCATGTGACCTTTGCATATTTTATTGCAGCTTTCACTGATACGGATTATTAGGAGCTCTATCTTTACCCTTCTTCCTGAATGACCCCTCTGGCATTGTGTTGCTGGAACAGCCAAACAGTTGCCTCTCCAGGGTGACACTGCATGATTTTCCCTAGATTCAAAAGCAAACTGCAGACTTCATCTTCTGGCCAAGATGGAGTAACAGGCACGAGATTACCCTCCCATCTGAAACAACGACAGCGGCAAGAGAGACAAAACATACGGGACAGTGTTTTCAAGACACTAAACATCAGGCAGTGAAAGACAGCTGTCCCTGCAAGATGGAAACAAATGAGGTGAGCACCTAACTGCCTTGAGAGACTTTTCAGTCACAGTGTAGGGAGGGGTCACGAGGCAGAACCTAGAGAACTCCCTGAATTGAGCAGCTGAGAGACCTGGGAGATAAAGGCAGTTAGAGTTCTCAGAACAGAGCACCAGGGAAGAGAATACCTGCACACAGAGAGAGCTCCAGAGATCTGTAGAGGGTTCCCTTGAGTATTCAGCAGAGCAGTCAGTATATGTGTGTGATGAAGCTACCAAAGTTTGTGGAAAGAACCATACAGAGGGTTGGAGGGAACAATGCCCAGGACTCACATAGGGTCAGGTAAAGTGCCTGTTGCCACAAGCCAGACTAGAAAACCTATGATTTGAGAGGCATTGAGTTAACTATTCATGATTATCTTGCCTCAGTCATGGGGCCCAACACTAAATATTGTATTGATCTCACCTAACAAATCTTAGAGGTAAGATCCACAAGAAATTGAGTTTTTGGGTAAAATCCCTTCCACAAAGACACATAAGCCCAGATGGCTTCATTGGTGAATTTCATCAGACATATAAGGAAGAAATAATATCAATTATACACAAACTCTTCCAGAAAATTAAAAAGGAAGAAATAATAGCCAGTTCATTCTATGGACCAAGCATTATCCTGACACCAAAATTGTAAAGACCCATAAAAAAATAAAACTACAGACTAATATTTCTCATGAACATATATGCAAATATTCTCAATGAAATTTTAGTAAATTGAATTCAATAATATATAAAAAGAATACATTAGGATCAAGTAAGTTTTATCCTAGGGAAACAGGTTGGTTTGATATTTAAAAAATCAATATAATTCAAAATATTAACAAATTAATTTAAGAAAAGCATATTATTGTCTCAATACAGAAGAAAAGCATTTGACAAAGTCTAACATTCATTCCTCACTAAGGGAAAAAATAGTCTCAGCAAATTTAGAAGAGAACTTCTTCAATCTGATGAAGAACATCCATGAAAAACCCACAGCTATCAACATACCTGAAAGTAAAAGACTGAATGCATCTCCTGTAAAATTAGAAACAGGACAGAGACATATGCTTACATGATTTCTATTCAACATTGTACTGGAGGTTCTAGCCAATACAATAAGGCCAGAAAAAGAAACTAAAAGTTATCCAGATTAGAAAGGAAGAAGTAAAATTGTTATTTGCAGATGACAGGATTACCATTACAGACTATCTGACGAAATCTATAATACAACTACAACTAAAGAGGGTATCAATGGTACAAGATAAAATATGCTGAGGAAAATCAATTAAACCCCTATATACTGGCAATGAGTTACATGAAATTTAAGTTAAAATAAAATGCCATTTTAAAAAGGCAATTAAAGTTTAAATACTTAGGGTTAAATCTGTCAAAAGATATCCAAGACCTGTACATTGAAGACTACGAAACATGATAAAAGGAAATTTAAAAAGATCTAGAGAAATAAGTATACTGAACTAATCAGTCACAACACACATTATTAAGACAGATTTCTCTGAAAATTAATCCATAGATTTAATACAATCCCAATCCAAAAACTAATAGTTCCTCTTATAATAATTAACTGATTCTAAAATCCATATGAAAATGCAAAGCATACATAATAAGTAAAACACTTTTGAGGAAGAAAAAGGTGTAGGCTTAACATTACCTGATGTGAAGACCTGACACAAAGCTACAGTAAACAAAACATAAAGATAGAAAAATATCAATGGAACAAAATAGAGCCCACAGTTACAATAACTGATTTTTTTAAGTGCTAAGGCAATTCAATGGAGAAAAGATATAAAAGCTTTTCTACAAAAGGTGCTAGAACAATTAGATATTCATAGGTTAAAAAAACGGGTATCAGTCCATGCTTTGTACCATAAACAAAAGTCAACTCAAAATGGATCAAAGACCTAAATGTAAAACTTTTTTGTAAAAGGAGCATAAGAGAAAACTTTTGTGGTCTTAGATTAGGCAATAATTCCTTAGATGTGACAGCAAAATCACCATCTATAAAAGGAAAAAATGATAACTTGGACTTAAAAAAAATTTTAAATCTCTCCTTTTGAGCACATAGGTAAGAAAGTGAAAAGATAAGCCAAAGACCAGGAAAAATTATTGAAAATCATATATCATCTGATAAAGAACTTAAATTCAGAATATATAAAGAACTTTCAATAACAAAAATTCAATAAAGAAATCCAATTAAAAAATGGGCAGAGGATCTGAATAGACATTTTTCCAAAGAAGACATACAGATGGCCAACAGGCACATGAAAATATGCTCCACATCACCAATCATCAGGTAAATGCAAATCAACACCACGATATGTCATCTCACACCAGACAGAATAGCTAATATCAAAAATACAAGAAATAACAAGTATTGGTGAGAAGGTGGAGAAAAGGAAACCCTCATACACTGGTGCAGCCACTGTGGGAAACAGTATGGAGGTTCCTCAAAAAGCTAAAAATAGAAAAACCATATGATTCAATTCTACTACTAGGTATCTATTCAAACAAAGTGAAAACACTAATTTGTAAAGATATATTCATCCCCACATTGATTGCAGCATTATTTGTAATAGCCAAGATATGGAAGCAACGTATGTGTTTATAAAAAAGAATGAAATCTTGCTATCTATGACAACATGAATGGACCTTGATGGTATTATGCTAAGAAATAAGTCAGAGAAAGACAAATACATGACTTCACTTGTAGGTGGACTCTAAAGAAGAAAAAAACAAAACAAAACAGAATCCAGACTCAGAGAGAACGTATTGGTGGTTGCCAGAGAGGAGATGGTTGAGAGTTGAAATGAGTAGAAAAGATCAAGAAATAGAAATTTCAGTTATAAAATAAATAAGTCATGAGGATGTAAAGTACAGCATGAGGAAAATACTCAATAATATTTATTAACTTCGTATGGTGATAGATGGTAACTAGACATATTGTGGTGATCATTTTACAATGTATGCAAATGCCAAATTACTATGTTGTATCCTGAAACTGATATAATATTGTAAGCTAATTGTATCTCGATTTAAAAGAGAAAACTACTCCTTTTCTCGCCTTTTGGTTAATTATGCACTTACAGACTACATTTCCCAGGCTTTTTGAGATAGGTGTGGTCATATGACTGAGATTGAGCCAATGGCACATGAGAAGAAGAGGTGTACATTGCTTGGTCTGCATTCCTCCTTCCTCCTTACTTCATGGAAATTGGTGACAATTGGAACAGTCATAGAGACCAAGTGTTGGAGGTGAAAGCTGCTATGAGACCTTAGCCTACTTAGTCGGAACTGCCAGGAGACAGAGAGTGGAATTCAATCTGATTAAGCCATTGTATTTAGGTGTGGCCATTCTTTACCTAACAATCACATACCAAGTAATCATCCTTTTCTCTGTCTTGTATCACAAGCTCCTAGAAGCCAGTGTTGGTCGTGAATCTTCCAGAAGTGCCTACCTTAATTTCATGTACAAGCAGATCTTGCTTCTTAATTTTATCATTTCAAAAAGTATTTATTAAGCAAGTATGATTCTAGGACTGTTTCGGCTTGTAAGATTAAGAAGCCCATTTCAGTAAATGTTGATGAGCCTAAGTCAAGTGAAATAACACAACTCAGACCACAATTCCTTGTTTCTTGGCTATGAGAAAAAATAACAAAGGCTATTGAAGTTGACCATGCTTCTGTGGAAGGACAGCAGCAATGTGGCATCAAGGGTGCCAGACATCACAGGCTGATGTGGACTAGAGTGGGCTTGAGAAGGACCACTCCATGTGAAGATATACAATATATGCCTGACATGTGTGTGGTTCCTAGTGGTGACATTTGCCTAATGACATGGCACATTTACATTGATACAAAAATGAGGGGAGCTGGCCTGAGTAAGACTTGGAAACACAAGAGAAGAGGATATATTTGCCTGTAGTATACATTTTCATGGCGATAAAAGAGAAAAGGAAAATGTGCAGAAAGGAAGACAGGAAAGTTTTTCAGAGACTAGTTATCTAAAAAAATAGAAAAGAATGAATTGGGCCTAGAGAAGTTAAGAAAATCACTGGAGACAATTGCTGCTGGAGGCAGGAAGTGTTAATGTGGCATTTAACATTTGGACTTTGCTTAATAGCTGAGGCTAAGTTGAGACAGACAAGGCTGAACCATGTAGATAGGGGGAGGGCCGTAAAGCAAATGGTTAGAAACAGAACTTCATCACAGTTAGGTGACAACATACCCTTTTGTGCTTAGCCAGATTGTTATCCTTCTTTCTCTCTTTCACTTGCGTGTTTGGCATTGTGTCGTTTATATTTAGAACATGTATTGAACTATTTCTATTTTTTTGCTCTAAAAATTTCCATTTCTTTGTAATTATACACCCAGTGTGTAGCATGATGTCCTTGTTTTCCTGTACAAAGAAAGACTGAATTTACAGGGACACCTTGAAGGAGATACAGTGGACTAGATGCAGTAGTGGGGACAAACACATCACCATGAACCCCCACCTCTGACCACACCACCCCTTCATGGGCTCCCCGCTTCGGGCATACACACTGCCCACCAGTCAGCAGGAGAGGTGGGGTGCTTCTGTTATTTCCATTCTTCTTCCCTCCTTTCCTTCCTTCCTTGATTCATTCATTATTAGCTCTTTCTTCCTTTCTTTTCAAATTCCACTTGTTTTATTATACAAGTGAAATATGTGCACTGCAGGCAATTCGGAAATTGTTAAAGAAGTACAAGGAGGAGGAAGTAGAGCTAACAGGCCACTCACTAGCCTATCAATTATGGGCAATTTTTCACATTTTGTCATATTGATATAAAACTATAGGTATACTGATAGATGTATGAATGATGCCTTATAATTGTCTATCTAATGTGAATATATATATATACACACACATACACGTACACCAACACATTTATGAATACATACCCACATATGTGATATTTATTAATAGATGACAGAAGAATCCTTCCCTTTAAAGGGGACTGCTTATCTTTACCTGGGAGGATAATTTGAATGTACAAATGCTGAGAAGAGAAAGGCAACAAACTTTACACAGAGCTCAGCTGTTCTATAAAAGACAATCTGAGGCAGTGTTTTTATTCTTGGGAGGATGAGGACTGGCAAGATGAAGGAACAGAAAGGAGGCCTTGAAGAGAAGGGACCAGTGAAACGGCCAGAAATGTCTATTAGTCATCACAATGCTTTTCTCAGTGTGGAATGGGACGTAATCTCTCCAGAAAACTCACTAATGTTATCATCAATGCATTTCTTATTTACCACAGCCTCAGATTTGTTGAGATTTTGGAATAGTGCATCACAATAGCCCAGAAGTCTTGCAAACCACAGGAACTGTTTTTTTGATTCACTGAGTCTGCAGTGGAACCATAGGACTTGGTGTTTTTTTACAGCTTCCCAGATTCTGTTGATGGTGCTGGCCTGTGAATCATACTCAGAACCATTATATTAGAGACTTAAGGAAAAGAGACTGACTCCAATGTTTGGTGGCATCACACTGAATATACTGTTTGATATTATGTACTTCATTCAATAAGATACCCTGAACAATTTTCCAATGTCATTAAGTAGTGTTTGAACACATATAAAAGAAATTGTATAATTTTTGCCATGCTAATGGAAATGATCTAGAAAATGGAGAAGACTGATGATATCGCAGAAAGCCAAAAATTGTGTTTGCTTGAGTTTGGTGGAAGGTGATGACTTCTCTGTACCAGTGTGGAGTTACTTCACATTTTCTGTCTCCAATTGCCTTCCTCTCTATCTCTTGCTTTGCCCTTACCACACTGACACTGTTCTTGTTAAGGTCACTAATGACCCTCCAGCTGGTAATCCAATGTCCTATCCAGCATTAAGTCCCCATCACACTTGATGTAGCAGCACCTCTGTCTATTGATATGCTTCCCCCTCTGATCATTTCCTCTTCATAACATACCTTCTTCCCTTAGTCCCCAGGATACCACACTCTCCTGTTTCTTTATCCATTTTTTCTTTCTATTACAGAGACTGCTCCCTCTTAGCCTCTGTGGCTGGTTGCTCTGCTGCCTTTACCCTCTCAGTGGTGGACTGGTTGAGGCTCACTTTTTGGATAACTTCCATGCTGCATTTATTCTCTTTTGTGATCTCACCCAGGTGTGTGGCTTCAAATATCATTGATATGTTGATGACTGCTAACTGGTTAACAGCCATTTCAAAGTTAACATGTTGAAGAGTGACTGTTGGTCTTCCCTAACCAAAGTTTCCCCATCTATGTTAATGGAGAAGCCATTCTTTCAGATGTTGGGGCCAAAAACCTCTAGGTCATCTGACTCCTGTCTTTGACTTACAAACTCAACCAATACTTTAGGAACTCCTTTTGTTTTTGCCTTCAGACTAACCACCACATCTGTCTTGCCATTTCTACTGCTTCTACCATCACCTTTTCCTTGGATTATTGCAAAAGTCTCCCAACAGGTCTCGCTGGATATACTCTTGCGACCCTGTTGTCTAAAAACAATAGAGAAACCAGACTGCTTATTTGAAAACGTGAGTCATTTCATGTTACTCCTTTGTTCTGATATTGTCATTGGACTTACATTCACCTCGAGTAAAAACATAGTTCTGTACAATGGACTAAACAACCCCTACTTTACATAGGTACTTCTCTTCCCTCCCCAGCCTTGCCTTTATCTGTGTCCATCCTGCTTCCCCTTGCTTCACACTGGTATCCTTGCTGTACCCAAATAATCTAGATAAGCTCCCATTTCAAGGCACTTGTAGTCTCTTTTCCCTCTAAAATCACAAATATGTAGAAATTAAACAATATGCTACTGAATAACTAATAGGTCACCAAATAAATCAAAGAAAAATTTTAAAAATACCTTGAATTAAGTGAAAATGAAAATGCAATATACTAAAATCTATAGTATGCAGCAAAAGCAGTTGTAAGAGGGAAGTTCATATTTGGGATATTTAGGATATAGGGGATGCTTTTTCTCTCCCCCACAGATGTCCACAAAGCTTACTCCATTGTTATCTTCACGCATTTGTTCACATAATACCTTCCAAGTGAGGCCAACTGTGGCAGAGCCATATGATTATCCATCACCTTCTCAATCTTTGTCACTCTCCATTATCCACCCAATTTATTTTTTTCTTCTTATGTAACATCTTCCAGCATTTGCTAGAATTTATATTATGCTTTTCATCTGTTTTCTTCCCATACAAGTGTAAGCTCTCCAAGGACAAGATCTTGGTTGTTTACCTTATTGATGTATTCCCAGAGTTTAGAACAATCTCTAATGCATAGATGGTCCTCAGTAGATTTTTGATGAATGAATAAAACATGTGACTTTATAATTTTCATCATGCTTATTGTATATAACCATCCTCCTATTTGTTGTTTATAGAACACTGTAACAAATAGTCTCTTATAAAATCCTTTTATTAGTTACATTTTGACCACCCTAGGATATAATCCTGTAAATGGGCATACCAGGTAAAATAGTGTAGGTTTTTTAATTCCTTTGTTGCATGCAATCAAAATGCTTTTCAGTTTGAAAATGCCCACTGCTAAGGTAGATAGTTAACGTTTTTCTAGATTTGCCAATTTGTGATTCAAAAAGGAGCACATCTCAATTATACTTAATTTGAACTTCTTTGGTGAAAAGCACTTTGAAGTTTTTATTATGTTTCTTGATCATTAGCATATTTTAACTAGTTCTTCAGAGCTCTTGTTTATTATGCTCTTGAAAGCCTCATGTTTTTCTTTTTGATGTGTGAAATTCTTTATCTGGTAAAGATATTGAGAGTTTCTTGTACTGTTAAAAGTGTTCGGCACATTGCTTGTTTTTAAATTTTTTGATGTTTAACATCAATAATATTATGTTTTAATGCCACCAAAGTCATCAGTGTTTCTTCCCTTATTATGTCATTGCTTTTAGACATAGACAGACCTTCTCCATCTAATATCTCCATGTAAAATTACTTATATTTACTTCTAGGTTTAATGATTTCATATTTTAACTCATGTTCTGTGATCTAACTGAAATTTATTTTGAAGTTGGGCTGTATATAGATTATTCACTATGAAAAAAATCTACATTGCTCATTGAATACCACTTTTTTACTAGCTGACTTCTGAAACTGTCATATTCATACACAAAATACTCATATTTCATGAAAGTATTTCTGAGTAATTAATTCTGTTAAGTATGTCAATCTATTGATTCTATGCCAGAACTCCACAGCTTATATTACTGTAATTTTGTGGAATGATTTAAAATAGTCAGGGCTCTGGTGCTCCCCTCTGGCTCCATATTGCTAAATCTAGGAAGATGGTTTGCCCTGCCTGGCATTCCCCCACAGCCTTGCCAAAGCCTGTGGGTGTGAGCTGTACACACAGGGCATATACCTTGAATGCCTGGCTCTCGTGGACACTGGTGCTTGTGTTTCTTAGCCCCACAGGATTGAAAACATTGGAAAGACAGTTTTTGACAAGCTACCATTCTCAGGACACTGCACATATAGCCAACTGAAACATACTCCTATTCTTCCTGTGACCACTCCTTCAAGACTGGGAGAAACAGCTGTTTTGCCTAATACATAGAAACAATACAGAGTCCAGCAAAATGTGGAAACATGCAAAATAACAAGATGAAACCCCAGGATAAAAAACCCTTAATGAAACAGGTAAGTAATTTATCTATCTGATAAAGAATTCAAAGTAGTGGTCATAAAGATGCTCACCTGTTTCAGGAAAAGAATGAATGAAGGCAGAGAGAACTGCAGCAAACATGGAAGATATAACAAAGTACCAAACAGAAGCCACAGACCTGAATAATACAATAACGGAACTGAAAATCACTAGAAATGTTCAGGCAAGATGGAGCAGAAGAAAGGCAGACAGGGCAATAGAACACACTCAAATGGATCAGCAAAAAGGAAAAAGAATTTTAAAAACAGAGGATAACTTACAGGGCCTATAGAAGAACATCAAGCAGATTAATGTTCACATAGATGCAACATAGATGTGATAAATATGTTAAAACAAAGGGTATAATAAAAGACAAAGATGAACAATGATAAACTTAATGATAAAATCCAACAAGAAGATACGATATTTTAAATATTTACACACCTAACATAGGAGCACCTAAATATATAATGCAACCTTTAACAGACCTAATGGATAGCCATACAATAATATAAGGGGATTTAACACTGTACTTACATCAGTGGATAGATCATCCAGATAGAAAATTAACAAGGAAACAACAGCTTTAAACATATTAGACCAGATAGACTTAACAGAGAGATACTGAACATTCCATCCAAAAGTAGCTAAATACACATTCATCTCAAGTGAAAATGGAATATTCTCCAGAATAGATCATATATTAGGCCAGAAAACAAGTCTCAATAAATTTAAGAAGATGGAAATCATATAAAGCATCCTTTCAGAACACAATGTTATAAAACTGGAAATCAGTCACAAAAAAAACCCCTGGAAAAATCACAAATAGGTAGAAATTAAACAACATGCTACTGAACATCTAATAGGTCACCAAATAAATCAAATAAAAACTTTTAAAAATGCATTGAATTAAGTGAAAATGAAAATACAACATACCAAATCTATAGTTATGCAGCAAAAGCAGTTATAAGAGGGAAGTTCATAGTGAAAATACAGACCTATCTCAAGAAACAAGAAAAATCTCAATCTTAGTTTACATCTAAAGTAACTAGGAAAAGAAGAACAAGTGAAGCCCAAAGTTAGTAAAATTAAGGAAATAATAAAGATCAGAGACAAAATATATGAAATAGAGACTAAAAAGACAACACAAAAGATCAGTGACACTAAGAAGTGGTTCTCTGAAAAGAGAAATAAAATCAATAAACTTTATCTAGACTCACTAAGAAAAAAAAGAGAAAAGGTCCAAGTAAATAAAATCAGAAATGAAAGAGAGGAAGTTACAGCTTCATAAAGATACACAAAGGATCATAAAAGATTGCTATGAACAATTATGCACGAATAAATTGGACAACATAGAAGATATGTGTAAATCTTACACATACAATCTTCCAAGACTGAATAATGAAGAAATAGAAAATCTGAATAGGTTAATTAACATAAATTAAATTGAACCAGTAATCAAAAGCCTCCCAACAAATGAAAGTTTAGTACCAGTCACCTTCTCTGGTGAAATCTTCCAAGTATTCAAAGATTTAATTTCTATCCATAAATTATTCCAAAAAGAAGAGGAGGGAATGCTTCCAAATTCATTTTATGAGGCCAGCATTACTCTGATACCAAAACTAGAGAAAGACTCCACAAAAAATAAGGTAGAAATAATTATAGGTCAATATCCCTAATAAGCATATGTATAAAAATCCTGAACAAGTCAAATTCAACAATACTTTAAAATGATCATACACCTCAAAAAAGTAGGATTTATTCTAGAGATGCAAGGATGGTTCAACAGCTGCAAATCAATGTTATATATACCGTAATACCAAATGAAGGATAGAAATTATGTGATCATCTCAATATATAAGAAAAGCATTTGACAAAATTCAACATTCATTTTGATAAAAACTCAACAAAGTAGGAATAAAGGGAATGTACTTCAACATAATAAAGGTCATATGAGAAGCCCACAGCTAACAGAACACTCAACAATGAAAAGGCAAAAGCTTTTCCTCTAAGATCAGGAAATAAACAAGGGTGCTCACTCTTATTACTTTTATTCAATATACTACTGGAAGCCCTATTCTGGAGCAATGAGGCGAGAGAAAGAAATAAAAGGCATCCAACTTGGAAATGAAGAAGTGAAACTGTCACTTTGCAGAGGATGTGATTTTATATAGAGAAAACTCTAAAGAATCCACTAAAATACTGTTAAAATAAACAAATTCAGTGAAGTTGCAGGATACAACATTCAAAATTCTGGTGCATTTTATATACTACAATGATCTATCACAAAGAGAAATTAAGAAAATAGTGCCATTTACAACTGCATCAAAGAAAATAAAATACCTAGGAATAAATTTGACCAAGTAGGTGAAAGGCCCATATACTGAAAACTATAAGGCAGTGATGAAAAGAAACTGAAAAAGAAACAAATAAATGGAAAGAAATTCCATGCTAATGGATTAGAAGAATTAATATTATTAAAATGTCCATATTATCCAAAGCAATCTATAGTTTATGCAATCCCTACCAAAATCCCAATGGCATTTTTTACAGAAATGAAATAAACAGTTCTAACATTTGTATGGAACCACAAAAGATCCCAAATATCCAAAGTAATCTGTAGAAAGAAGAACAAAGTTTGGAGCACCCTGCACCCTGATTTCAAACTATATTACAAAACTATAAAATCAAAACAATATGCTATTGGCATAAAATGAGACACACAGATATGAATAGAGAGCTGAATAGAGAGCCCAGAAATAAACCCATGCATATATGGTCAATTAATTTAAGACAAAGGAGGCAAGAATCTATAATGCAAAAGTACAGTCTCTTCAATAAATGGTATTGGGAAAACTGGAAAGCCACATGCAGAAGAATAAAATACACTGCACACAAAAATTAACTCAAAATGGATTAAAGACTTGAATCTAAGGCAAAAAAAACCATAAAGCTCCTAGAAAAAAACATAGTCGGTAAGCTCTTTCCCATTCCCCTTGGTAATATTTTTTTGGATCTTATTCCAAATGGAGATGGAACAAAAACAAACATAAACAAATGGGACTACATCAAATTAAAAAGCAAAACCTTCAACAAAATAAAAAGACAACCTATTGAAAGGAAGAAGATATTTCCAAATCATATGTCCAATAAGGAGTTAATATGCAAAATATATATAGAACTCATACAATAATCAGAATGTCCACTACTCAAAAGATAAGAAATAACGAGTGTTGACAAGGATATGGAGAAAAGGGAACCCTTGCTGCTGGTGGGAATGTAAATTGGGGCAGCCACTGTGAAAACCAGTATGGAAGTTTTTCAAAAAACTAAAAATAGAACTACTATATGATCCATCAATACAAAACACTAATTTGAAAAGATAAATGCACCTTTATGTTCATTGTATCATGAGTCAAATATGGAATATTACTAAGCCATAAAAATGAATGAAATCTTGCCATTTGCAACAACATGATTCCTGAGGTCTATATGGTAACAGAGAAAGACAAATACCATGTGATTTCACTTTTATGTAGAACCTAAAAAACAAAACAAACGAACAAACAAAACAAAAGTCATAGATGCAGAGAACAGTTTGGTTGTTGCCAGAAGGGAGGGGTCTGGGGTGGGCAAAATGGCAGGACAGGGTCAAGAGGCACCAACTTCCAGTCATAAAATAAATAAGTCATAGGGGTATATTGTACAGCATGATGACTGTTGGCAATAATACCGTGTTGCAGATAATATAACTCTACATGGTGGTGGGGGAAAATAGACTTGATGTGGTGATGATTTTGCAGTATATGCAAATGTCAAATCATTATGTTGTACACCTGAAACTAATACAATGCTACATGTCAATTACACCTCAGAAAAATAAATAGAAATAAAACAAATAAAAATATAATTAAATAAAATAAGGCTGTTTGTCCCAACCTCCACTCAATTTCCCTTTTGGGGTTTTCTTGGCTGTAGCTAAAAATGAACATAACTCCCCCTGGCAGCTATTCCAACAAAACAAAACGAACTATTAGTATTTTGCCTGGAATTGCTTTAAAACTACAAAGTCTCTTAGGAAAAACTCACATCTTAATAGTATTCAATCCTCTTGTCGAAAGCATAGTTTCTTTCTCTTTCTCTTGTCTGTTACGTTGTTCCACCCTACTGTGCATCTCTCCAGGCCCTGTGAACACTTCCCTTTCCTTGGGATATTAGAGAGGGTTCTCTTTCTCACTGTGTGATCTTGGACAAGATACTCGATCTTCTAAATTTATCTGTAAAATGAAATTATAGCAGTAACTACTGATTAGATTCGACTGTTTTAAAGATTAAAGCAATTTAAATTATGTTACATTTGTTTTAGGTTAAAAGCAATTATGTGAAAAGCCTTTTGTGTGGAAGAAGCCCTCTGTGTTGACTTTCAAAAATCAGCACATCTTTACTGTTACCATTTTACTCTTTGAAGAAAAGGAGTGAAGGTCATGGGAAAAATCAGTGTCTGATAAACCTGGTAAGTCAGGGGTAATGGACTGATCGCTGGTGAAGAAGGAGCTGGACACCTGACGTCAGGGACTCTGCCTCTGAAGGAAATCTTCTGATGTTAAAGTTGGGTGGAAGGCGAAAAGGATGAATAAGAAGGCCCTGGGCTATTTGAAAGCATCCAAAAGGAGGCTGCAGGGAGTCCCTGGGAGGGAGAGCCAGGTCTTCCCAAGCCAGGCTAGCCTTGTGGGTATGGGCCATGTAGTCCCACAGGGCCCCAAGCTCAAAAGAGCCCACAGTTTGGTTTCATGCTTTCCTGTGGCCATACAAAAATGCCTGTAAATTTTCTAACAAAAGTCCTGCCATCTTCATGCATGGGGGCCCACACATGATGTAGTTGTCCTGTTCCCCCTACTTCCATGGCTTACCTGGCCTTCCATCTGAGGGGTTAGCACATCCCTGTGTGTCTCTAAGCCCTCATCCCCAAGGACCCTGCTGACACACCATTAGATTAGGAAATGAAAAGCTGTTCAGCAGTGAACTTGCTGTAAAGAGGGCGGAAGAGTTGGGGAATATGCTTTTTGCAAAATGTGAGTATTGAACATTGGTGTATTGTTAAAATATAGGTAATAATTTATAAGCTAACTGGACACTCAGTTCTTAAAAAAATTATAAAGCAAGAGAGATGGAATGTCAGAGGCATAATTCTTGCCCATGATTCTGGATTTTGGAGTTTACGGCAAAGCTGACGAACCTGCTGAATTTTTCTCTTTGCTTCCCCTCCACCATGCCCAGATGCTTTTCTGGCAACTAATTATTTTCTTCTTAGGAGTGGATGAGGCAGTATAAAAGCAGTGATTGGGGGAGAAGAGGAACAACACTTATTGATTGTCTATCACATGCCAGGTGTTGTGCTAAGGGCTTTAAGTAGAGTTTCTCATTTATTCCTCACAATGGCCCTGTGGGTGGGTAGTATTATCTTCATTTTGCAGACAAAGAAAACTGGGCTTAGTGAACTAACTAACTTGACCAATCACACATATAATAAGTGGCAAAAAAGGATATAACCCTGGTCTGCCTGTCACCAATTGCCTTGTTATTTTTAGTGTAATATTGTCCACCAACTAGACACTGAGACAGATGAGGAAATTTTTCATTATTATATTCCAGGCACTGTTCTAAAGGCATCCCATGACTTGACTCATTTAATTCTCACAATGAAAGTTGAATTCATTTCTGTAAGGACTTGTAGCAGATAAGTGTTAGAACCAGGATTCAAAGCTAAAGAGTCTGATTGCAAAGACAAAACCATCAGCCATTATATGATGCTGCCTCTTCTAAGAAAAACTAGGGCATGGGGAGAACAAACTTGCTTGATTAAATATGGAAAAAGCCAACGGTGATTTCCAGGCTTCATGTTTCATGTTTGAGCACACGGAGGGAAGGTGATGTCATTTAATAAACTGTGAAATACGGAAGGATGAGGTGCAGGTCTCAGGGACACAGCTGTGACATCACTTTTGGACATGTTGAGTGGGGTGCTTGCAAGACATCCATGATGATGCTGTACAGCAACTTCTTTAAAGGGTTGTTGTGAACAACTTATTTAAAGGGTTGTTGTGAGGGCTGAATGAGTTAATATATGCAAAGTGCTTAGAATGGTGCCTGGTGCAGAATAAGTGCTCTGTATGTGTTTGCTATTATTATGGCCCAGTGAACAACTGGGCCTTCATGGAGCAAAGAAGATTATTATGACCCAGTAAGCAAGTGGGTCAAATGGGCCTAAGAAGAGGGATCTTGGCTACACTAATAAATCAAGAGTTCTGAACTGATAGATGACAATGGAAACCACGAGAGAAAAGGAGATCTCTTAAGGAGAAAGGAAAGAATGAGAAGAGGAAGAGGGGAGATACTTAGGAAGCAAGCATCTTGATAGATGTATAAATTGTCTTTGAGGTATTGGATAAAGGCTGGTCATGGCCATTAGAAAGTTTCTGCAGTTGCAACAGAAGGGAAACTCATTTTTGTATTTGCAATAAAGCACTGAGTCTTTGACCAAAATAGACAATTACTTATATGGTAACCAATGCAATCAGAAATCACATTAATTAAATGAAATAATATGAAGGCAAACTCTTAGAGAAAGGGAACCACAGCTAACCGAAGTGTTGTGTTCAGCACCCAAACCTACTGGTCACCAGGGTCCGTGCTCAGCATCACCGTACACTGGTAATTCTCTAGCCTTTCGATTATCTTCCAACCAGAGTATGGTGCCCAAGCCTCTATGTGGTCAAGTGTCCTGATCTTCAAGAGCCGCATGGTCTAGTTCAAAGCACTGAACACACACTCACCGCGCCTCCCCCCACCACACTCACTCAGTGTCTTCTGACTGATGCCTTTGCTAGTGATCCTGGGGGATTCCTCCTGACCTCCAGGGCTCAGTACGGACTTCCTTCAAAAGGTCTTCCATGCTGTTGCTCGGGGTTTGTTGTGCCTCCGTGGCTCCTGACCCTTGCCTCTATCATAGCACCTACTTTCCTGTCTTCCTGATTAGACTATAAGCTGACATCAGAGGTAGTTTCATTCCTAGCCCCAGGATCTAGCACAAATGCCTCTCATAAGTGCTCCAAGACTCATTTGAAAAATTGATTCCTGGAAAACCCGTTTTTAATTTCAGCATTTAGTATAAAGTCAGACTCACTTCTGTTCCTAATGAGACTCAGGTAGCATGTGGGGGTTCGGTGCTCTGGGCCTCTCTTGGCTCAGGATGGAGTTAGGTTTTCTTAGTCAACTTTGTTGAGGTATAATTTGCAAACATTAAAATACACATTGGTTTTAAGCATACCGACCAATGAGTTCTGAAATTGTATATACGTGTATAGCCACCACCAAAATGAAGACAGTACAGATCACTTCATCCACCCAAAAGGTTTCCTTTCATGCGCCACAGTTAATCTTCTGCTTACTTCATGTTGGAAGCTTTAGATGCACAGATGAGATGGGATGGGCCATTCCCAGGTTTCATGAAGTAAATGATGACAGCTAACCAGGATGACTGCTCTCACATAAGTGGTGGGATGCCTGGTTTGGCAGCCAAGAAAAAGAATAAAAAAAGCTGCCTCAGGCAGGAAGCATATTGGCACAGTCAGGAAGGCAGGAACTTGAACCTGGGGTCATTTGTCTGGAACAGAGGCTTTGGGTCTGGAGACGACAATGCAGGGGATGCGCTGAGAGTTGGTGGGGGTAGGAATGCAGGTGCCCACACACTGGGGAACACCGCAGGTGTCTCAGGTCCTTCCTGGCCTTCTGTGCCTGCCCAAGGAGGGGCGAGACTACTCATGGGCTCTGGAACCTCGCCACCCCTGGTCACATAAACAGGCAATGGAGGGCTAGCTTCTGAGCCACATGGCCACTCCGGCTAGTTCTCTGCCCTCTTCACCTCAGACATCTCCCCTCACACCCCTGCCGTGTCAGACCCCCAGGGCAGCTAGGATCTGCGTCCTGCCTGTGCTGGCTTGCCCTATCTTTTATTCAGGCCCAGTCGTCTCCATGAATGGAGAAAGAAACCTTCAGGACAAAAAAGTAGCAGAAGGAGGCTGTATTGGCCTGTTACTTTGAATTTTAACCAAAATTTTCTGCAGAAATGGCAATATAATTTCAAAGCATAATCCAGAGGCTTTTTGGTTCATGTCAGCAGACTTCAGCAGACAGGATTTTTTTTTTCAAAACAAGTCACATTAAAAGAGGGAGCATACATCAACCTGAAATTTTTCATGGAGAAATGTTTTATCTGTGTCTGTAAGGAACACCCTCCTTAGAAGACAAAAGTTAGCAGCTTATGTCTTCTAATAATTTTGTGAACAGTAGACACAACCCCTTTTGATATCTTCCCAGTACAAGGGTAGGTTAGAACATCAGCAGCAATACAGAGATCCGAACATGCTAACCTTTATGAAAAGGGTGCTGTCATCATTCTCCCAGATCTTCCTCAGCAAATCAAATGCTGACTGCAATGTAAGCCACAAGTAGAACTCCACAAAAGGCATGCTCTTCACAGGGACTTCAGGACTGAGTAAGGCCAGTATCCCCCAGATGCACGTTCTGACTCTGATGAGAACTGGCCATGTGAATCTGGGAGCATCATTTTCCTTAATGAATCTGATTCTTCATCCTCTCCTGTAAAAGTGTTACCTAAATTTTTAAGACTCATGTTGTGTTTCTTTTTTCCAATGGGGAGTACTTGTTCTTCAGAAGAAACTACAATTTTATCATCTGTAAAATGGGGATAATTATAGCTTCTGCCTCATAGTGTTGTTATGAGAGTTAAATGAATGAATTCACACAAAACAATTAGCACAGAGCTTGCATGTAGTACCAGGACTCAATAAATGTTAGCTACGATGATGCTACTGCTAATGATGACGATGATTGCAAGAAAATAAGGGAATTCTCTAACGATGAACAACAAAGAGGGGGCCTAAAATGGCGTGGTGAGTGCTAGGCCTAGGGGACGGGAAAGTGCAGCTTCTGGTGTGGTGACTTCAGGGGCTGGGTCTTAACAGGAACGTGTGGACTCAGGCCCAGAACTGAATAATATTTCCACATAAGGTTGGAGTCCTTGAAAGCCTCCGAATGTTGGGGTAGGGGTAAAACAAACAATATTAGCATGGGGATGGCAAGGATCCTCATCTGTCCTGCCCTGGGCTCTGGATGGAAGAGTTATGTCTGCCCAGGGAATCTGTCATAACAGGCCTGGGCTGCAAGTGGGTTTGGGGTTCAGATGTATGATTCATTCCTGGGGCCCCTGCAAACACAGAACTGCTCTTAGAGGAACATGCTGTCACCTTAGGCCACCTAAGAGGTCCAAAATCCATGTTTCCCTGCTGAAGATGTGCTCATAATGCAGAACTACCAAGCTTGCAAGGGAACAACCTACGTCCTCTTAGGTCCTGATGAACTAAAAGCCATCATCCAAGTAAAGAGAGGTCATGGTACAATTCAGCTTAACATAACTTAAAAGGCAGGAATCAAACACATATGCAATTATAAGACACAAAAGTATACCTTAAAATACAAAACTTTAAGAAATAAAAAAAGAAGTCACGAAAACTTAAAAATCTTCATGAATGGGTAAGTACTATCAAAGAAGATAAAATTACCAAAATGGAAGATAAACCTGGGGAGTTATCCAGAAACGCTGAGATGAAAAATATGAAATAATAATTAGAAGTGAGAAGACCCAACATATGCCCCCGAGGAGCTTCAGAAAGAGAGCGCTGAGAAATGAAAATGGAAGATTATATACTCTCCAAATGACCAACGGACCTTTGCAATGAAAATAATCAGCCAATATGCAAAATAATCAAAAGGGAAGTACTGTCAATAGGGCTGCGGTGATAAAGCTAGCAGAACCCTCAGAAGCGCCCCACCATCAGCGACAGCAGTCACCTGAGGGGTGACTAAGATGTTGAGAAGGACAACCTGAATGGCTCTGGACTGATGTTTCCACATTTTCAAGCATGTCCCCAAATTGCAGTGACTGTCATCTGTGTGTTTACTACATTCACTGCCATCTCACCCTGTATCCTCACCCTGAAACAAAATCTGAGAAATTAGCAAGTAGAGTCGGACAACTAAAGGGCCAGTCCACCGGCACCCAGCTTGCTTCTTCTGAAAACTGCCGACTCCTCCCAGCTGTGAACAGACCTGCTGCTTTTCTCCACACACTCAAGGCTATTCTACTAATGTTTTCAGGTTCTTGTCTTCAGTGCCAGGGGCAAGGTGACATTCCTTAGGATTTATTATTATTGTTTTCCATAACCTGAGGCATTTCACTGCTCTAAAAGCCTCTACACTATGTTGATTTTCTAAGTTAAGTCAGACTAAGCATAGATTTATTGGTGAGGTTTGTGGTTTGCCCTGCATGTGTGCACACACCTGTACGTACTGGGGACACAAAGATGAAGGAAGAGCGAGAATCAATATTTATTTGTCATTAATATGTACCATCCCCTGAGCTAACCGCTGTCAGATATGCCAATTTTTTCCATTCTTCTAGCAATCAGATACGGAGAGTGTTGTCACGTTTGTTTATCACATGAGAAGAATGAGGCTCAGAGAAGTCGAGTAACAGGAGAGTCACTTTCTTGTGGATCTAATTTTATAAGAAAGAAACGGGGAACGACACGACAGAGTGAGAACAACACGTTGGAAAGAACCCAGCAGCCACCCATACCTATGAGCGCAGCATGTGTGGTCCTATCCGAGCTCGTGCGGCAAATGCGCAGTCCACAGACTTGGAATACTCTCCACTTTAGAGCCTAACAAATGCTTGTGTAGACCCTGTCTCCCAGACATGCCTGAAAGTGCTTGTGTAACCCGAGAGACACTCCGACACCCAAACAGGACCTCTGAGGCCGCATCGGCTGTACCAGCAGCGCCGTGAGCCTGTGTGCACCCCCCCTGCGCAGTGGTCCTGTAATCTTCGTGGCAGGCCTGGAATTTGTCTGTTCCCTTTGAGGGTAATATCTCTTTTTGTCCAAAATGAAATTAGCTACCCTCCCACAGAGGGCCAACTCCATCCTGGGTTTTGCATTATCACAGTTCTGTTGTAGCCGTAACACTTCATGCTGAGAAACTAGTTGTTGGAATGGTAATTAAATGTGTACCTTTCTGAGCCATGGATTCAGCCTTCCTTATGAACTTTCGCCCCCCCCCCCCAATCAAGTGGGCACGCAGACTTCAGCTCCTGTTGTCTCGGAGTGGAACGGAGCAGAGAGCACCTCTGTACAGTCCCCTGGCCTTACTACCCAGGCTGCCTTGAGATGTTTAACATCCTGAGTCTCGAATGGGGGCAATAATCGTATGCATTGGATTGCCCCAAGAATTCAGTGGGAATGTAAGCAACTCATTTACAGTCAATGCTCAACCAGTGGGTTCTCCATCCCCATCTGCTGCAGGAACCCCCAGGTTCTCAAGGTGGCCACACAGTAAGCTCCTCAGAGACTCTTACTCTCCACAGATTTGCCACCTATGAACTAGAAGAGCATTCTCTCTCAGAGGACAAGGGAGATAGAGAGGATTTGGTGAAAAACACCAGAAAGATCCTGAGCTCTTGAGTCAAAACCTACCTCATTACCTGGCAAGTCATGTAATTTCTCTGAGTTGAATTTGTAAACTGTTAATACGTACCTCAGTGGGTTGTTCTAAGGGTTTAGTGAGACAGTGTGTATGGAAACTCATGTAGACATATGAAATCATACTTTCAGGAAGGTGTCTGGCTAACCAAATTCAACCTTTAACATCATCTCTGGGGGATACGATAGGCAGGCAACCTTGATATCACAGCACTAACCCAGAGGGTGTGGGCAGCACCACACAGCCCTGGCTTCATACCAGTCCAGTGTGTATCTTGTCAGTGGAATCACAGAGATTTGTTTTAAAAGCAAAATCCTTGGCCTGACTGTGCCCAGAACATTTTAAGGTGAAAATATCCCAGACAACACATTTGGCATTTCTTACAGCAGACAGCCCTCCGCCCCACTGTCTGGTGGCTGGACCTGGAGAGGAGGCACCCCATGCATCTCGGCCCTTGCGCCACCTCCCTCTAGTGGCCGTATCTGGTAATTTCACCGCTCTGCAGGATTCCCTGCTGCTCTGCTTCCCTCTCAGGCTTCAGGATTCTGTGCACCGTGCTGCCTACTCCTGGGGGCATCTCTTCAGTGTCGAGAATCCAGAGGCATGTATTGTAGAGTTTCTCATCTCTTCCTAAGGCAGGCAGTCTTTTGGTGGGCCCTGACTTTCTGTATTGTCAGTCTAGCTGATCCTTCCTCTCCCTTCAGGACCCTTCCATTTCAGAGTGATCTTCTGGGAAAATCTGTTCCATCAATCCTTGTTTAAAGGCCTTCAGATGTTTTCACTGCCCTTCAGGAAACCTTGTGGTCCTTGGCATGAAATAAACACGCTTTTTGTGTTATTCCCCCTGTCTCCGGGTTCAGTCTCAGGCCTGGGGCCCCATCCTTCCAGGTATTCAGGCCCTGCTGTTATCCCCAGGGGCCTGCTCACTGTCTGGCCTGAGAGGGTCGCTGAGTACATTTCCCACCTGACTTCCTTTCCTGCCCCAGACTCAACTGGCATTAACCCCTCCAGAGCCGAGCTCGGATGTCCCCAATCAAAATCTTCTGGCATCTCACTCCCCCCACTTCCAGGTTAGGAGCACACCTAATACCCCTCTTCTGTGATAGGCCTTCTCATCAGCCTCAGGAACCACAATTTTTCCTTGCATTTAAAAAATCTCCACAGCCACAGGACAGAACACAACACCTAGCACAGAGAGACCTTGCTCAATAAATGTTGAATGAAAAACCCTATGTAACTTGAGAACCAGAAGAATGGCACATATTACAAGGGTAAAAAATAATCACAATTACTTACATTAGCACTAATACTAATGGGAGCCATGGAACCTTTATTATATGCAAGGCACTCCTAAGCACATCAAATTCATCTCTCATTCAGCAGGTGCAGGGAGCTGCCCCCCATGCACTATCTCATTTAATCTTTACAACAGCCCTGGCAGGTGGGAGGAGAGCAGACATTAGATCCGCATTACAGGGGAGAAGGAGGAGGCTGGAGAGAGGCTGATGGCCAAACATCCAAGTACAATGCGAGAGCCAGGGCTTGAGCCTAGTTTTTGCAACCTCTTTCAGACTCACATGAGTCTGCTATCCCTTATTAATACTTTGCCACCTCTTCCTGACAGAGGCAGGTCCCAGGAGATGAAGCCCAACACAGAAATGTGCTTTGCCTGCAGACCCAGGCTGTAAAAGCAATCACAGCTTCTCCTCTCTCGCCTCCAGTTCCTAATCAATTATGGAGGAAATGACACTGAAGAGGGGAGAGAGAGAGAGACTCAGGAGTGGCTGCAGTTCATTGAAAAGATACCAGAGGCTTTGTTTCTGCAGCCACAAAGCCTGGCTGGGAACACCAGGGCACATTGATGAAGTTTGGTGAATAACTTGGAGACAAAGGAAAAATGACAAACCCAGTGAATTAGTGAAGGTGAAATAAACAGTGCTCAGCAGCAGATGGGGCTGACGTTGGGTAATTTCCTTCTGTCACGTCCCCTTGGGTTGTAGATAATCCTGCAGCTGCTGGCATTCCTGAGCAGGCCGGTACAGGGCCTCGGTCTCCTTCCTGCTTCAGCACCATGCCCCGCATCCCTTAACCTGTCTCAGTGATAAAAATCTTAAGAGTCAAAACTTTTTGCGAGGCTTATAGTGGCGATTTAACTCAGTCCTGGCTAAGGTTGCTATCTATCAGGCTGTCATGGTGACAGGCAGATTTGTAAATGCTCTGGCTTCCATGTCAGGTTGAAGGTGACATTTTTCAGCTGGGGATTTTTTTCCCCTTCCCTCACTGAGACAGAATGTCTTGGAACGAGGGAAGCATCCCCTTAATAGGCCTCTGTCCCACTCACTGTCACCCTTACCAGGATTGTTGACCCCTGAGCTATAAGACTGTGACTCAGTTCTTCTGGCCCACCTCTGCCCTGACACCACATACTCAAAGCACCATGATTCCTGATTTGTTGTAAGGCCACACCCCCTGTCCCTGCCCCCTCCACGCCATTCTCAGGCCTCACCTGGCTTTGCCTTATAATGATTTGTCTTGGCTGATGGTTGCTCTGCCATTACCATTATAAATACTTACACAGATTAATTAACCACAATATAAAAACCCAGAATCCCAACTAAATTCATTTAATGACCTGCCATGTTATTTCTTGGCTGAAGCATCTAAAACTAACCCTGAATGCTCAGTGACATTCTTCCTGGAATCACTAAACCTTAACCAAGTTTCTTCTTAACCCCTTCTTTTCCTAGGATTTTATTCTCATTATCTTTAATCCTGAAGGCGTAGAACTGAAGTGGAGCAATTCGGTTCTTGGTTTCCTGCCCAATTCTTAGCATTTATCTGACTTCCTTTAAGAAGCTTGGAAAAGCACTTTCTGCCCTCATGTCACATC